GCGGGGAGCTGCCTGCCCCGGGCTCCCAGTAGCACTGCACCCCCTGCTTGGGGCACCCCAGGAACTGGGAGAGGGGCACCTTGTGGAAGCTGAGGTGGTGCATAGTGGGTAGGTGTGGGGAGGCTGGGCAGTTCACATCTTCCTGGATTCCCTTGGGCCTGTCTCCTGGCAGGGACCCTGTGCCCCCAGAGAAGTCCTTGCTCAGGCTTCCAGGGAGGTGCTGGGGACAGGGAGACCCACCGCTGGTGGGGCACGGACACCCTGACTCCAGGGGAAGAGCCTCCCTGGAGGAAGGACTGGGGAGCGAACACACAGCCCCACCCTCGCCCTCACCAGAGAAAGAGAGTGCAGCAGAGATAGACAAGGACACCGACCCGCAGGATACTCTTTGGGAGGCTCACCCTGAACCTGTGCTGTCCGCTCAGACCTGGATTCCCCCTGGGGGCTGAGAGTTCCTGGCACACAGGAGGTGCTCCAAAGGGACTATGGAGTCCTCCGAGGAGGAGACTGGTGGGCCGAGCTGGGGCAGGATGTTGGCACAGAGCGGCTGGCTCTGAGACAGTTGCCCCTCACCCCATCAGCTGGACTGTGACGGGCTGCCTGCTCGAGCCTCTGGCAGCAGTGGAGGAGGGGGCAGCTGCCACCCTAACCCCTGGCTCAGGGGGGTCATCTGTTCATTCTGTCCTAGATTACTGGGGTCCTGTCTGTAGCCCTGTGCTGGTGGAGACAGCAGCTCCCTTTGGGGTGGAGACAGCTATCCTGCCTGGATGCAAGGACAGAGCTGGCAGGCCACTGGCCAAATCTGAAAGGCTGAAAAGGGGCCAAAAGTAGGCAATGCCCACCCCCTGCCAGGAGCCTCCATAGTTTTGCGTGCTATTCTCAACTGCAAGCGTTTCTCAGCATTGACTCGCTCCTGGAAGCTTTCAGATTCCAATCCAGCCGTGCTGGGGAGAGCCGCCAAGACCGCCTGAGAACCTGGTCCGGCCAGATTCTGACTTGGGCCTTTGAGAAGTTCCATGTTGTACAGTCCAGGCCCCTGCACTCCCACCCGTTCCTGGTCTTGCTCCATTTTCCAGTGGGACACCGTAAATCCTGGCTCAGGCGGTGGGATCCAGGGTCCTGAGGTTGGGGGTGAGCCGAGGCCTGGCCTCCACATTTTGCCTTTGCTCAGTTGGGCTATTTTTAAAAGGCTGTGGTTCACGCAGGAAGCCATCATTACAGTTTCCCTAGGCAAAGCTGCTTTTGCAGAGAAAAATTACAGCTCTTTTCTTGGGCAGATGAGAGGGGCCCTGCCCTGCCGCATGGCAGAGGACACGCCGACACCGTGTCATGGGGGGCCAGGCCCCAGCACTAGCCCCCCAGCCTGTGTGCTGAGGACAGAGCTCTGAGGGCCAGGTCAGAGTCCTGCTTTCCCCTGCCGCTCCTGGGGTGGGCAGACCAGGGATGTCGGTGTTACCCAGGGAAGCTGAGCTGCTCCTGCACAAAACCCTCTTCGTGGTGGCCCTGCGGCTGACGTGAACACAGAGAGTTTATGCTCTCTGGGAACACATCGGAGTTTGTGCTCCTGGAAGAGACCTGGCTGGCTCAAGGGCCTGTCCTGCCCCGTCACTAAAGGCTCCAGGAGGTGAGAATTCGGAGCCCTGATCCCAGGCAGGGCAACTCTTCCAAATGGTCCATACAGGGGCTCTGTTTTCTGTCACATCTGGCTTGGATGATGAAAGTGTGGGTTACACCTCTGAGTGGACACGCGGTCCATGGTCTCAGTTCTTCACTCCCAGGTTTCCCTGAGGCAGAGCAGAGCCAGTCCCTCCACTAAACAGGGGCCACAAATCCCACGTTAGGAGGCCAGACAGGAGGACGCCCAGACTGACAGAAATGACCTGGGGCGGGGCGGGAGGAGATTAGGGGTGCGACTGAGTCACTTGCATTGGTTGGGATCTCTAGAAAAGAAGTCCCTTAGGAATCAAGTTGAGGGAAGGGGCCTGGGAGTTTTGGGGGCACCTCTGGGCTTCTTGGAAGTGCTGAGGCTGTGGTCACTGTGATGTGCCATCAAAGGTTGGTTGCCACCTTGCCCCATGGAAGGCTGGCCAGGCCGCCCATGGGGTGGGTGGGTGGGAGGTGGACAGGCCTGTTCTGGTTTTGGAGGCAGGGGCTGGAGAGTCTTACAGTTTCCAAACCACAGACGCCTCCTCCTTCCAAACACTTTCCCCTCCGTCAGCAGTCTCCCTGGCTCCCCTCCCGGCCCCCACAACTTACTCAACCCCGCTGCAAGAGGCCTTTTGATTCCAAAGGCCTGGTTGGCTGCGGGACTCAGGGAGTGGAGGCCCCGGGGAAGCACTGCTTTTCTCTTGTCTAGTTATGTACAGCCCACTGCCTGCTCCCCCCTCGGCAGCTCGGCTGTTTGCAGCGAAGCTTCTCTTAGCCAACTTTCTGCATTTTCCTTGGCTGCCTGACTTAACTTAGCCCTAATTTAACTTAGGGCAAAGACCGGGAAATGATGTTGTTTAGGTCTCTCACTTAAGAGACAGAAGTTGTGGGTCTGTATTTGCTTGCATATTTGCATGTGTACGGGTGGCCATAGAATGAATGCATTCAGTTGGGTATTTGTGTCCACTTACATCATCGTATGTCTATAATTGTGACTACGTTGCCAACATACTTGTGATAAAAGTTATGATATGTGAGTGCATATGCACTATATGTGTACTTGTGAGGTAGCTGCAGAGGAATTCCCATGACGTGATAGTGTGGATAATACAGTTGTGACTGTAAAAATAATGCAATCGTGGAAGGGTCTACACGAGGCTGCCTAAGTGTGCATCTGTGAGCGGCCGTGTGCAGGGAACTGCAGGTATGCAGGTGTGTAGGGGCTGGACGGGCAGTGTGCTGAGGCCCTCAGGGTGGTGTGCTGGTGACTGTGCTTCACGGACTGAAGTGTCTGTGAGTCTACGTGGTTGTGGAAACAGAAATGTGCTTGGGGTTCACTGTGTGTTGGTGTCTGGAGTGGACAAAGAAAGGGATGGGGGAAGGTAAAAACCTTCCTCCCCGCACTTTTTCCAGGCCAGTGTCCCACTCTCCTTTGCTGCCGAGGCTCAGGGCTGTGTCCCAGCCTGGCCCCCCACCTTCCTCCTTCCACGGTCCCTTTGTTTCACATGCAGCCTGTTCTTTCTGCTTCGATGACTTGGCCCCCTGTCCTGCGCCAGCACCCAGGGTCCAACCTGTGCTCCACTCTCAGGACAAGCTGGGCTCCTTGCGGTCAGTGCTCTGACCTGATGCTGAGCCAGCCCCAGTAGAGTCCAGGCTTGTTGCTAACTTGGGGCAGACACCAAAACTAAGTCTCACAGTCCTTCAGAAACAAGCTTTGGGGGTGGAGTGCGAGACCCGGGGCATCCCTGCTATTCTGGAAAAGCCAGTGCTCATGACACACCCTTCTAGCTATGCCGTCATTGTCTGGAACATGCCCTCCATTCTCCTGAGGGAGGAGACACAGGCCACCCACTGGCCCTGGGGCTCTGGAGATCTTTAGAGGCTTGTTCAGAGGCCCGCCCCTAACTTCCCTACCTCCCAAGCTCCTGGATGTCGGAAAGGCTTCGGATTGGCAAATGTCTGGGTTCTCAGTCAGCCTGTGTGGCAGGCCAGGGGCCTCCCTGGAATCATCTTGACAAGGCTCAAGTCCCAAAGGCCAGGGCTGGGGTGCAAGAGCCCCTGGCTGGACCTGCCTCATCCTTAGAGCTGGCGGGGGCTGTGCGCTTAGACCCGCTGGGTCTAGACTTTGCTCCCTTTCAGTTTCCCTGGAACTGGAGGACTGAGGAGGTGGGGAGTGGCTCCACCTCCTTCCTAGTCTGTCCCTAAATCACTGCCAGTACAACTTTGGTCAAGGAAACCCCTCCTTAGAGGAAGGAGGCAGGGAACAGCCGGGGGTGAGGGCACGGACCAGGCAGAGATTCAGACACACTCAATTCTCTTAATCTGCGGTTTCAGGACCAACATGGCCCTTCTCAGAGTCCAGCTCCCCCATGACCCTATATAAGTCCCATGACCCTGCCCCCAGGATGCTGGTCAAAGCCAGAGCCATCCCCAGTGTCACCCCAATTCCCAAGCAGCCCCTGCATCCTCCCAGGACCCTCCCCGCCAGCTAGAGTAGGTAAGAGGACAGTCTGGCTGGTGAATCTAGGTGAGGAGGCCACGGGGCAGAGAGGAGCAGAGCCCAGAGAAGGAGGAGAAGCATTAGTGAGAGAGAGAGAGAGAGGCAGCAGCTGGGGGTGAGCAGAAGCTAGCTCCACGGTCACCTCGGCTGTGCTGCCTGTTGACCATCCCGCCCAGCGTCCACCGGCGATCCAGGCGCCGCAGATGGGCCTTGCGTCTCTTGGACACTGGTGTGGGAGATGGCGATGGAGCACGCGGCCGACGGGCACCGGCGGAGAGAATGGAGATGAGGATGAGATGGGATGGGTGGGGAAGGGGTCCAGGGAGGGGAGGTGTGCACCCCTAGGTCTTCACATGCCTGGACCAAGCCCCAGTGGCAAGACAGGGCTAGATGGGCACAGAACTGACCGGTGACATCACTGGCAGGTGGCAAATAATCCAACCAAAGCCAAACTGTGTGGGTTATGCCCCTGAGCCTGGGAGGGGCTAAGACTTGAGAATCCCAGCACCTGAGAGGGAACGAGGCTCCATGGCTCCAGCCCGGTGCAAGGATGACCCTCGGAGGCAGCCCTGGAGGAAAACATGCCTCCCACGATCCCTGGGCATTGATGGCTCCCAGGAGCATATGCCCCCACCTCCACCAGAGCTCCTATCAATCTCCCATCCCCATCCACTCACTCAGCAAGTCCTGCTTGTGAATCTGCAACCATGAGCTAGGCACCGTGTGCAGAAGGAGAAATGTGTCCAGGTGGAGACCTGGGGTCCCTTCCCCGGGGGACTTACAATTCTCACCATCCTGGGTTGCATTTGTCTTTGCTTTTTCAGTAATCCCCAGTGGGTCAAATCTGCTGAGGGCTAAATCTCCACATCTCTGCATCCCCAGGGCTCGGCAGGGGACTGACCCCTCTGAAACGTTGCTGAGTGAAGCACGACATCGGAGGATGCTGCAGGCCTGGGTGTGTTCCTGCCCCACACTCTGCCCGCTGAATTTCAGACAGTCGGGGACCTGCCTCCCAGCCGCTCACTGCTCCACACCCCTCCTGTCCACACAGGTCCTCTGGCTGCTGTGGACCAGCTCCACATGCCCCCTTGCCTTCCTAGGGGACACCAGGTGGGTCAACTCCCCCCTCCCAACCCCAGGCAGGCTGCCCAGGTCTGGGGGAGGAAGGCTGGCAGCTAAGAATCAAACTGTCCAGACACACCCCACCACACCCCATCCAGGCCACCTGGGAAGTACTCGTTTTTCCAGAGGCAGGAGAGTGGCCTGTTTGACCTGCTTCCTGGAAGCGGGAGGCCTGAGGGATGGATTCAGTCCAGGCTGCACTGCCCGCTTACTATGTCACCGTGGCAGGCCGCCAGCCCTCTGTAAGCCTCTGTTTCCTCATCTGTCTTTGGGGTTGACACCATCTGCCCTGGTGTGAAGTGAGACAAGGACTGAGTGGGCATAGTGGAAGAGAGATGAGGTCCTATGTGAGGTCACACTGGGAAGAACCCGAACAGCTGACCTCCCGAGGTGTGTCCACCTGGTTTCTCTGTGGGCAGAGGAGCTTCCCTCAGCTAGTGCCCAGCCTTGCGCCACCTTAGCAATAAGTAATGTTTACCCAGTTTAAACCAGGTGCCAAGACCATCTCACAAAGGCCCCAGGTAGTGGGCACTCTGCCCACTCTAGAAATGGGAGGCCAGAGGCACAAGCATGGAACGTGAGCTGTTAGGGAAGCTCTGATGGGATGAAGGGGTCCAATTTCTATCTGCAGGACTCAGGGGATCTATAATGCGGTGGCAACAGGGCCGGGGTAGAGATGGCCTGAGAAGGGACCAGGGTGGTGGGGACAGTGTAGAGACTGGTAGACACACCACAGATGCTGGGCCTTGGGCTGGGGGACTGAACCTTGAGCCCTTCCGTAGAGCTGGGGGTAGATGCCCACAATGTGATGATGGAATTCACAGCTGCCCAAACGTTGCCGGGTTACTGGCAGACAGATCCTATCAAAGCGTGCAGCAGAACCTATTATCAGAAGGTTCGCCTTGAGCATCCATGTGTGTGCATACACACACACCCACACATGTCCTCTGAATGCGGAACCTGCGCTGGCTGCCTGGTTCTTATTCCATCGAGGTCAGAAGTCTTTACAACCCGCTATTGCTTGTTCTGTGCAAGGCACCCAATCTCTCTTCAAACCAGCTTGGCATCAGTGCCCACGCAACCTCTCAGGCTCTTTCCTGCCCACTGGTGTCCTGGTCCTCCAGCATCTCCCAACGTCTCCACTCTGGCTCTCTTGCCATCACCTTTTCAGGAGGGGCTCCAATTCCATACACACTCTCTCCCAGAATCGCTCATAAGCAAAATGCATCACAGAGAGGCGTTCAGCACGGTGGGAAGACCACCAGCAGGGGAGGCTGACCAGGGGCTCAAGCCTTATGAGGACGGACATGTATCTAGATCTCCTGAAGCCTCAGTTCCTGCATCGGGAAAATGGAGATGGTGACAGAGCCCTCCCCAGCCTGGTCCCCAGGTAAAAGTACCAGGGCAGACACCTAGGAGTGAGTGAGGCCTCAGGTCACTCTAGGGATGGTTACTTCTGAAAATCCCTGGGATGACCCCCAGGATGTGGAACTGGATAGGAGGTGAGGCCTAGTGACTACAGACAAAACAGACCAGACCCAACTCAGGGGCTGTGACTCTGCACCACTGCAGTGATGAGATGGAGGAGAGGCTCAGCCCCAGGGCTCGGGGACCAGCCAGGAAGAACCGAGCACCTGGACTGAACATGACGGCCCTGCCCGATGGGGCCAGGAACCTGTCACCAGGCAGATAGGCACTGCAGGGGCTGTGGCCCTGATCAAGGGACTGAAACGCAGCGCTTACAGGGGAGGAAGGGCAGGGATCCAACTGCCCAGTAACCGACATTCGGGGGAAGGATGAATAAGGAGCTGGCGCTGGGCGGGCTGCTTATTTTGGCCTGGGCAGTGTGGAGTGGGGGTGGGGAGGGGCATGCCTGGAGGTGGCCTGAGCCCTGGGCGGCAGGCATCCATCCCCCTGGCTTTCAGAGGTGCCCAACTGGACGATCACTGGCCGTTAGGGCAAGCCTTCCTGCTGCCAGAACAAGGGAGGTTTGGAAGTCACCAGGAGCAGGCAGGCTTGCTGGGCTCTGGCAGCCTGCTCTGGGGAATACCCAAGTCCACTGGACAGGCTGAGTAGGCCAGTGCTGGCTGCGGGGGAGGGGCGGGTTCTTGGAAACGCAACAGAGAAAACCCCAGAAAAACCTTTTGAGGCCAGAACTAATCAGGGAGGCTGACGGTGCAAGAGTTGAAGCCACCCCTGGGTTCCGGCAACACAGAGAAACGACTCCCCCAGCTGCCCACCATGTCCGCAGCCTGGGCTGGGCTAACAGGTGCCCGAAGGGGCGGCCTCCAAGCAGACTGTGAACAGCAGAAGTGGCATGCACACGGCCCCTTTGGGGTCGTCCCTGCCACAGAGAGTACAGTGCGGGGTGGGAGAGGCAAAGGTGGATATTGGTAGGGAACCCCAGAGGAATCTAGGGCTTCTGCGGGGAGAGGGAGCTATAGAGGATGAGCCCTAAGACTGTTCTCCCCAGTCTCTGACCCAAAGTTATCAAAACCTGAGACCCAGACCCCAGGAGAATCTCCAGTCTAGTTTGAGTCCCATGCAGGACCAGCGAGGACAGACCTGGATAGGAGGTGAGCTTGTGGGCTGGCCCCAGGGAGATGGGCTCCCAGCAGAAGTACGGGGACCATGACCCAGTCTTTTCAGAGTTTCTGATGGTCTTAGGGAGAAGGGTGGGAAAGCTGTATCATCACCCCACCCCTTGAACCTGCAGGCCCTTACCATCACCAGTCTTGGAAGTGTTGATATCTGAGTCGTCCCGAGTACCATTCTGGGCCTCCAGGTAGGTGGCAGGGACCCAGCCCTGCTCCTCAGAGGTGCTCACGAACCACCAGCCTGCAGCAGGGACAAGAGAGAGCGCAGCCATGAGAGTCAGTGGATAGCCAAGGTGGGGAGGGGGCCAGGACGAGGAGGAAGGGGCAGCGAGGAGGGCAGAGCACAGAGCCACATGGCTCCGGGCACCAGCAAATGCCTGGCCCACATCTAGCCTCTTGGAGCCCAGGTTCCTGGCTGAGGAAGGAGAGACCAACACAGTCCCTGAGAAGAGGGGACCTGATGGACCGCAATCCACTCACACAAACGTGTGATACATCTGAGAATGAAATGGACACAAATGTGTGATACATCTGAAAATGAAATGGACATGATATGCCCAACACATGAAAGTTACCTTGCGGGGAAGGTCAAGGGGGCTCCAGCCAAACACAGAGACCATGTAGGGTTTTTCGAGCCCACTAGGATCACTGGTGTGACCTCGAGTTGGACCATTTTCTCTGGTTTAATGTCACCTGGGGGTAAAAAGGCCTCACAAATACGTTCCAGTGGTCACTGCTCCCACTTGCGGGTCAGTGGTAATTTCAAGTCAGTGCTACTCACAGCTGCCTTCAGTGTGTTGACGACTCCGTCACGGTAAGTGGGCACTGCACCCTCGAGTGACCCTTGACGGTCATGGCCAAGTGAGAGCAGTACATTCGTTTTGTTTCCCGATTGTTGGCTCATTCATTCATCACTCAGACAAAAGCTGAGTCAAATACTCCAGACTCTGAAGCCGTGGCACTCCACTACTGTCTTCTGTTCCTTCCTAGAAGGTACTTTTCACAGGAGGCCATCTCTGCCCGCCTCCTATTCTGATTCTTTCCTGCCTCCAAAGCCATTTGGCACTGATGCTCTTTTCTGTCTGTGACAGAGCTCACTCACCATTCCCAAATCTGGACTACAACCTGTCAAGAGACCCCAGGGCTCCTCCCTGGGCAGCACACTGAGGCCCCATCACTGCCCACAGCAATGAGCAGCTGCCCAAGGAGGGGGCACATAGGGACCTCCAGGCTCTCCCAGCTGGGCTTAGCACTGGGAGGTGGAGAAGGCTGCCTGGGGGCTGCTGTGACAACAGTGGAGAGGGGCAGAGGACAACGGTCCCACCCCTGCACAGGATCTCACACCCAGGGTCATACCTAGGTCTTCAACTTCCAATGCTCCAGGTCACTGGGCTGGGATAGCACACAGCCTGTGGTCTAGTCTTGAAGGCCCACTGCACCCCACCCTTTCCAAGAAATTCCACAACACTCTGCATGCAGCTCTGCAAACCTTATGAACTGCCATGACATCTGTATGATACTGTAACATCAGATACAGTCCTTGTATGTTTGTCCACACCCACAGAATGTCCAGCACTGAGAGTGGACCCTAAATAGAACTAGGTACTCTGGGTGATTAGGATGTGTCCATGTAGGTCATCAGTTGTACCAAATGGACCACTCTGGTGGGGGATGTTGACGACAGGGCAGGCTGCTTGTGTGTACGGGGGATAGGTGTATATGGGACCCCTCCCACTCAATTTTCCTTGACTTAAACTGCTCTAAGAACAAAAACAAAGCCTTAAAAAAAAGGAAAAGAAAAAGTTTCACACAAGGGTCTGGACTTCTGAGGCCCAGCCCTCAGCTGGGTCACTGCCCCAGGGGACTCAGGGTGGAAGCCTTCATTCTCTCTCTCTGCCAGATTCAGGTCAATTCCCTCATCCCTCACCCAAGGGGGATGGGTATGGGCCATGTGCACACTCCAGGCCTACCCACCCAGGCAGCACTGCCATCCTCCCTAGAACCCTGGCAATAGCCACGTGGCTGCTTGGGAGGCTGTGGCTGAGAGACCCCAAAGCAGCCAGAAGGCATGGACTTGCAGGGGTCTCTGCCTGGGGTGGCTTCTCCCCTTCTCTCAGGCTGTGGGGGAACTTTCAGGAACTTCAACTGTCCCTGCCGATAGGCCCCAAGCCCAGTGTTCTTCCCCAGAGTCTGACTGGAGGTCACAGAGCTGCCCACCTCACAGACATTCCCGCCCTACAGCTCTGCCTCCTTGACCACAGGAGTGGGTGCATCTGGCCAACTGTGTTCTGACGGGCCTGTCACCTCCCCAGACACTATAACGGTTCACAGGCTTCTCCAGGAACGGACATGGGTGCTCTGGCGACCTGAACCCTAAGTCCCACATTAACCAGGAATCACAGGGGTATGGGGAAGAGATGTCCTGAGAGTTAAGTCAATAAAGCAAAATCAGGCAATGGAGAAAGTCAGTCCTGATGACCATCACTTGATCCTGGGGCACAGAGGTGCTAAAGCTAGGCTGCCCTGTTGGACGTTCTCATTACAGTGAGCCAGCGACCTTCCTATGCTGTTCAATTGAGCCAGAGCAGGTTTCACACACGCCCTTAGTCAGCAGGGTTCCAACTAGAAGGTCCACCATCACAACTCAAGTTTGGAGAACAAAACCCAAGTCTGCTGGGCGCCTGCCGTCACAGACCTCAGGGGGAAGGATGGAGACCTCCGAGTCACTCTTGGTAAGCAGTCCCTCCCCAACCAAACTCCCCCTCACAGGATAACCTCCAAGAGCCCAGAAGAACAGTCATCACAGTCCCCAACTTGGAGTCATCTGGGGAGGGTCTGGAAGGCTGAGGCTCTCACATGCCTGCCCAGGTCCAGGTCCAACAACAGAAGTTCATAGGCTTTGGTCACCACACCCTCCAGTCCCTCGTTAAACTGTGTCCAGGGAGCTGAAAGACCAGTTCCAGCCTCCAGAGCCAAGCCAAGTCCCAGTAGGCCAAGGTAGTGCCCTGAAGGCCTAGCCTCAAAGGGAAGCCCTTCTTCCCAGAAGAGGACTCCCCAGGATGGACTCAGGGATCTTATGGTCATCAGACAGAACAGGGAATGTGTCTGGAGGAACAAAAGAGCTTGGATACATGTGTCTCCCAGAGGATTTGCTGAGATCTCTCCATGCCCAGCTCCCCACCCCCCGGCCTCTTTTTCTATACCAAGGTGTGTCCATTGCCCACTCCACCCTCTAAAACAACCTGCTTGCTGTCTCAGTGGCAGCACAGTCCCTCCTTTTCTGTGTGAGTCCATGACTTCCCAGGAAAGCAAGGTACTTGGTGGTCTCCTGGATGGCTGGGCTGACTCTCTTCTAAGCTTTCTCTCTATTTTGGGAATCTGGGCCCCGAAGGCATCCTCAGCAGAGGTGAAGGAGGCAAGCTCCTCCATGGGCACCAGGAGGACTTACGGGGGTTCCTCCATCAGTTTCATCTGAGTTTGTCTGTGTTCTCACCTGTGAGTCTTCGAGCCTGCTGACCTCCTGCTGTCCTCTCTCCCAACCTCCCCCCATGGCAATTTCCAGATCAAGGCCCCGTGTGGACTTTTCTCATTGACTCCAAGGACTTTATAATCCCAGAATTTAGGGTTCTTTTCTGCTGGTGGCATCGTTTCCCCTCCTGCCTAACTTCACCCTTTGAGAACCTTCCGTGTACTTTCTGCTCCCTCTCTTCCCCCCAGGAGCCAGGGATCTGGGATGGAGGGATGGATCTGGACTTGTCTGTGTAGAGTATCTCCCCAGGGTGGGGCAGAGCTGGCCTGCCTCCTACCTCTGCCTGGCATAGGCCTGGCACTCAGGGCAAGCTGGGCAGGGATTTGCTGAGGGGCTGAGCATGCGGCTGAGGTGCCCAGTGGGCAGGAAGGTGTGATGGTCTCTGCCTCACACTGCTGGGTACCCCTGGGATGTGCCAGGGCTGTCTGAGTCCTTTCGACCTCAAAACCTCTCCTGTACCCCAGGTTTCTGTGGAGCCTGGGCCATACCACTGGCAGATCGTGATCACCTCACCCCAGGGCAGCAACTTAAGAGTCCTGTCCTCCTGCTGCACCCCAGACATGGGGCTGAGACTCTCATCTTCCTCACAGCTCGGAGGTCCTTCCAACCTGACCTGAGAACACCCCAGCCCTGACACATGCAGAGCTGGGCTGTGTGGCTCTGAGTCCCAGGTCCCTCCCGCAGCAGGCCCTGCAGAGAGGAGCCGCCACTGGACAGGCTCAGTCACCGCCCACGAAGCAGAGATGGACAGGCTGTCACCACCCAGGCAGACATTGGCTGAANCTTCCTCACAGCTCGGAGGTCCTTCCAACCTGACCTGAGAACACCCCAGCCCTGACACATGCAGAGCTGGGCTGTGTGGCTCTGAGTCCCAGGTCCCTCCCGCAGCAGGCCCTGCAGAGAGGAGCCGCCACTGGACAGGCTCAGTCACCGCCCACGAAGCAGAGATGGACAGGCTGTCACCACCCAGGCAGACATTGGCTGAACATGGGCTAGGGGTGCCCACCCAGCTCTACACAGACCCCCCCGGAAGCCCTGGCATGAGTCACACAGTTGGGCCTGTGGGGGCGGCTCCTTGGGCCTGCACCCACCGATGGCTGCTGGCAGGCCTCTCCCAGATGCCAGCAGATGCAACCGGGGCCCCTGACCAAAGTCACTGTGTCTTCACCAAGGAGCAGTTAGAGCCTGAACCACCCTGGGTGCAGCCCAGCTGGCCAAGAGGGCTCAGGTATCAGCCAGCCCGTGGGCATCTCCAGCTCCCCTCTAGTGCACACCGTGTTCTCGCTCCTGCAGAGGCTCACAGTGGGAGGCAGGCTATGTCCACATACACATGCATGGGTGGGGACCTGTGTGCATGGAAGAGAGGTGTGTCTATACATGTATCACGTGATGATTATAGCCAGGTGCTGAGAACAGCACGCCGTGTCAGGAGCTAACACTACTCACGTCACTTAATTTAATCTTCAAGGACCCTGTGAAATAACTTACTGTCGTAACTATCCCCACTTTACAGATGTGGAGACTGAGGCAGAAGAGATCACCACCAGGAGAAGGCAGAGTTGGACTCAAAACCAGGCACTCCAGCTTCAGGACCCACATTCTTCACCACTGCAGAAGCAGGTCAGGTGCACCTCTGTGCCGTGCACATGGGTAGAGGTGACTCCTTGACAACGAGGATCCCTGAACACGGATGCTTTACATATGTGCTGCCT